AATTAATTGTCCGTAAAAAAAAAAATATATATATATAACATTATGGCTAAATAAAATATTATAAAAAAAGGCTGTTGTTGGTTTCTTAGTATCGACACGGATTGAAGAGTGTAGACCTGTGAAGTGGGTTTTTTGAGGTTAGGGCGGGGGTGGGGGGGGGTTGGTGTGTGGGATATAAACAGCCTTTGATAAACAATCACAACATGTTCAACTGTCAAGCTTAATAGCGGTGATCATTGTCCCTTAATGCAGGTATAGCTACACTTGGCGTGAACTCAATGTAACCTCTACACACCTGCCTATAAAGCGAAATATCTTCCCCCCCCCTACCCTCCAATAAACAATTCGTGGACCCCATACCCTCGTTACAAAAGTCAAACACGATCAAAGAATATAACACCTGCATACCTTTTTTATTATTCATAACCTCATTGTTCAGTCAACAATAACCATATTCAACCTATAAATAGAACACCTGTGGAATGCTCTGACGTCAGACCTTAGGAATGTGTGACGTCAGACCTTTGGAATGTCTGGAATTCCAAAATTGCTTCAAAGTACCCTTCCTACTACTGATGGGTCCCAATTTAGCTTTATCTTATAAATCATGTACTACTTTATGGGCCGTTGTATATTCCCTATTACATGTATATTGTGCAGCAACTTTACATTTCAAAACCAGACATCTCAATGATCTTGTCGCACAAATTCCACTTAGTCTAGGTAGTCCAGATGATAACATCAGAGGTAAAAAAAATCCCAATGAAAATCAGGGTAAATTCCAATGACCGCCACTTAGTCTAGGTAGTCCAGATGATAACGTCAGAGGTAAAAAATATAGCGGACTGCATTAACATTAATAGTTTGTGTTATTACATGATGGCCTGCCTACTTATCTACACAGCTTTTTTTTTCCTCGATCTCACCATTTGCTCTCCGGTCCTGTTTCAGGATTTTACATGGAGGGTAACTGAAGATCTGTGTGGCAGTTACCACTTTCCTATCTTGATTGATAAATTAAAATACATCCTAAATAATTTAAAAATTATAAATAGTCTAAAATAACCTCAAAATCTTAGAAGAATATTAACATCATCAAAGTTTGATTCTGATATTTCGGTACCCCAATTGGACTACAATTGGATAGATATCGGGTACGTACAGCAGGTCAAGATACGGCTCTAAAGTCTTGACTGACAAGTTTCTACTTCGTAGGCAGGTTAGTTTATTAACGTAATCTAACTAGTACGATACTTCTTATTTAAGAATTTATCGGATGTGAAGTTTACTGCTGTAGACGTACGTAGTGTTAAGTGCAAATTTCTTATAGAACTCTGTCAGAAGTGTGAACCGTGCCAAAACCTTGTATAACTGTATGTTTCTGAAGGAATTATAAAATTATTAAAACCAACTTGGACTTTGTGAAATTATTCCGCGGAGCCAGAAACGAACCAACGAAAGAAATAAAGACGATAGTCCTAGCCACTAGACACCAACGATCTAGCCAGAAGAACCAGTGCTTTAGACCGTTTTCACAACGGGCAGTCTAGAAGGTTTGAGTGACATCCACATCTAGTTCCTCGCAAGAGAGGCTAGAGACTCTCAACCTTTTAATCGAGGAAAGTAAGCGGCAAGGTTACATGAATGAATGAAATGTCTAGTAAGTAAAATAGTTTAACACGGATAACAAAAATCCTGTAATAATCAGTGAATGTATATATTTGAATGAATGTCAACTCTGAATAAATCTGTTTGTGATAATTCACAATACCCTTAAATAGAACAGACCAAAGTTGACAAAAGCCTTTCAATAAAGTGTTGGTTTGTTTGAAAGCAAACTCATGTACACGCATAGTCTTCTCCAGGAAAATAATAGCCTTATTCTAAGTATTAGATGTTTAAGTGTCCTACCTGTTGTGTAAATGTTCCATTACATCATATTTTACTTGTCCAGAGGGTTCGAAAATATTTTTAAATCCAAATCACATTTGAAAAGGTTTACGTCAGGCTTTTTAAATCATTTAGTTGAATTTTTCCAATTTTTTAAATTAGGTGTGTTAAGATGAAATTTGTATCATCAATTAATTGGAATATTGTAAAATAGTACAATTTGTTGACCAGAATAAAGATTGGGACATATTATTCAGTTACAACAAGAGTGGTATTGAGCCTTTAAAGTAAATTAATATCCGAAGTATATTGCGCATTTGATCTTGAAGAAACGTTAACAAAAATAGTTATCTCCTTTTATAAATTACATAAATACATTGAAGCCCCCATTTTACATTTATTACGAAACAGAGCCGGACGAAAGGGTTTCGATTGACATATAATTCCAGGATTTAATGACGGATTACACAGTCACACGGAATATGCATGACATTTAGAATCAGAATTTCAATAATCAACATCATACAAGGTGTGGATCAAGATACTGTCGCATTAAGCTCTTAGAACCACACGAAAGTGTGCCAGGATTGAATGAAGGATTAAATAGTCACGCGGTATACACATGATATTTAAATGAATGTTTACTGCTTGTTTGCTTGTTTTTTTATAAATTGTTTCATGTAAACCAAAATTTCATTAATCAACGTCATGCTAGGTTTGGGGCAAAGACACTGCAACATTTAGCTCCATATGTTGTAAAAAGTTTCCCGCCCTGAAAATGGGAAGGAAATGATTAACAATTGGAAATTCAATGGTGATCTGTTGTCACAGATTCTAAGAGGGTCTGACGCGTTCACTTTAGCTGTTCATAAAGTTTGTCGTCGATGCAAATGTCGCGATGTGTTTGTACGTGTTAATGTAGTGGTGTAATTTGCCTATCTCTTGCGCTTTTACCATCCCTTTAATCTCGATCAGTCCTAAAGCTCAAAAAATAATTTTTTTCTAAAACATTTATCTTAATTTCATTTATTTTTCTGAACGATATTGACAAGTTTTGAAAAAAAAAAACCTATTGCCACATTAAGATGATTTAAAAATGGAAACGGTTTTGGGCCTACATCAGGAGACAACGTTTCGAATAACACGGAAACAAAAACAGCAATTTCCACACCCTGATGTGCTGCTTAGCAAGTAGCGAACACCGGCTTCAGGGTCATGGCTGCTACTATTGGTGTATATTCAATTATTAATCTTGGTAATCGAGGTTCTGACCAATCGGCATAAACATCAAACGTGTTGTGTTTTAGATGCAGAAATTATCTCAGGGTTTCGTCACTCTCACCAGTTCTATGAAATCCGTTCCAACATTCATTGGGAATTTGATTGTTGCATTGTGGTTGAGATCGGTTTCAATGGCCATGTCTGTGTCGTGGACTTAGGGGCATTGGTTGCTACTTATTTCCTATGACTTTTTCTCCCGTGAAATGTCGCCAGGGAATAACAGTATAGCAGTTAGTAGACTTTTGTGGGTTGGTGAAATCGGGATCCTAACATTGTGTCGTAATAAAGAGTTATTGTCTAATTCTAATGATTGTGAAACAAACCGATCTTCTATATATTATACTAAACAGCAAAAAACAAAAAAAAAACCTCAGTACGATTTCAAAATCAGAGAGGAATTTTAATCAAATCATTCTAGAAAACGACTTACTAAATGGATCAAAGCAATTTTTTGTAAACAGTATGTTGACACATTAGTGAATAATTCATCACAATTCCAACACGTTACGTGGAGGTTTAGGGTCTTACACACTCCATACATCCACCGCGAGTGTCAATAACAGCAGCGCAGCGCCTGTACATGGAGTGGACCAGGCGATTGATGAACGCCATTGGCACCTGGAACCACATTCTCAGAAAAGCCTGTCTTAACCCATCGTATGTGTTTGGTCTCGGTACGACTTATTAAATCGCCTCTGAATTTCACCCCAAAGATGTTCAATCGGGTTTACAGTAAAAACAGACACGACTGAATGTAAATCAGTTTATATACATTCATATTACATTATTATGTGCGTTGCGACCCATTTGTGTGAATTTCTATGTCCCAAATATTAGCGATTTAGCTCTTTTAACACATCAAATGTCAACTTGTATTGTGATGACACCATTGTTGTCATTCTAACGCCATCATTGCGTCGACATAAATATCGTTTAAGGTCAAAGGTGACACATCCCTTGTTCAATAAATGTTTGTTAGTTTGGTGTAAAGATATTTTGTGGTAAAAATGCATATACAGTTTTTCTCGATGAATGTAGTCTACGTGCATTAAGCAACGGGTGAATCGTAAATCCCAGAGAATGTGAGTTTTATGGAAACTGATATTTCCGGGGATTACAGTTGTGGTTTATGATCATATACCTTTGAAATAGTTTGAACCACATTAACCCTTTTGTAGCGAGTACAACGGCTAATCCAATTGCACGTTAATCTGTTTTATTCCTGCAATGAAAAGTAAGTACAACCCCCTTCATATACCACTATCGGGCATGACGCTCATATCATAAAAGGGGGTGTTGTGGGGCTACACACTTGGCGTGTTGTTTTTCTCACTAATACAAGGTGGGTGTGGTCTCCAGTCATTGTGAAGTAAAAAGAGGTTCCTTTACGTATGTAGAAGATAATGTACTAGGTAACTGTAAAGTTTGGATAAGTTGAGATTTTACATCAATGAGATAGTAAGGACTGAAGTTGATGGTAAAAACATGTAAATATACATTTTTATCCAAGACCGGAAAATCCCGCTCGGCATTTCTGTGATTCTGGATGGGTCAATGAGTTTAATATCTTATCTACCTAAAAAGCAAGCATATAGACAAAAACGGGCGAAATCACAAACTTGAGTGTTATCATGCTTCCTGCATGATCTTTTTATTAGAAAACAACCTTTAGCAACAAGCTTAGAGATGCAGCTCGTGTTTTGTTTTTGTTAAATAGGTATTAAAAACATCCAACGGTAATTAGTCTGTTAAATTAAAAAAGAATTGCTGGTACAGTGTCTTAAATATAGTTTAATAATACTCAAATAATACAAACAAATTTACTGGTAACAATAAAGATTTCGCTAACAAAACTGCGAACATCACTAACATAACAAAAAAAAAATAATAAAAAATATAATAATAAATGCTCTTGTAAATTTAACAGTAATATAAGGGGTGTGTCTAGCAAAGCTCCAGTTTGATGCAAACATTAACCTTACACATCTTACTATTATTACAAAAAAACCCCCAAAAAACAAGATTTAATAAAAACAATAGCGGTGCTAACAATATTGGTGCATTAGCAAAACGTTCGAGTTCATTAATGACTTCGGTGATAATGATCCATGTTACGCCCACTTCCATAAATATTAAATTGTGGGATATTAATGAACATACATTATCCAATAAAACCTAAATAGTTCAGTTTTAAAGAAGCGTTAAAGACTATATTATAATCACATTTTTAAAAATTAGAATGGGAAAGTCGTTTGGCAAACGAATGATTTTTCTTGCCTCCGGGGTTTGACCAACAGACCACATTTATCGACTGAGCGAAATCTACATGATCAACAAAGAGTTTTGTTCTTTACAAACTAACTTTTTTTGAAAAAGTTAATATCCTTCAAATACTGGAGTTATGTATGTGGAGTTTATTTCATTTTGAATTCGAAAATCCATGGACTCCGTACTAATGCGATCAGTATCATCACCAACGTCAGTAGACAAATTGAAAGAATCGATGCCGTCTCCTGATCTGTCATCGCTGCCATCGCTTGCTTCCTGGACACCACCATCGTCGTTGTCACTCTCTTGAGAGGCGGTAAATTGTTTCAGTTGTGTATAATCGTATTTATCGCTCGACTCCGTTTCAGTTCTAGTTGGTTGATTGTACATGTGAATATATGATTCCGAGTCATGGGAAGATGGTGTATCTCTGTCCGTATTTGATTCCTCAACATCCCCATTGATTACTTCACCGTCACAATTCGCTGTACATCTTTTCAATCGTAAATACTCGTGTTTATCGCTTTCTGTTTCAATCCTATCTGTAGGATTGTACGGGTTGAGATATGGATCTAAGTCATGTGAAGATGAATCAGTCTCGGACACCATAGAGTGATTGTTTTCAGTGATGACACCCACAATGTTGAGTGACTCATATGAGTTGTTAATCGCAACGTTAGCAGCGTTACTGGTTATCTCCGTGTTTTCCGTGTGCGGTGGTCTTTTCATCCCTATACAAAGGAGGAAATTGAAATTAAAGCATACAAGTGTGTTATTCAAGTGGATAGCCCATTGATATCATGTGTCAATCATTTCGGTATGTACACTGATATTGTTATGGTAATTTATCAATACGTTTAGTTGTGTTCTTGATCTTATAAAAGACGCATTAAATACATCAATCTGAATTAATACAATGTTGATAATTTTTTTTTAGCTTTAAAAAATCGGCAATAACCTAGCTTTAAGAAACAAATTGTTAATTTAAAAAAAAAACGTAATTTTCATACGAATATAATCATTTTATTTATTATTCTCAATATTATTATAATAATATTAAATGTTCATAAACCGATGAGCGGAAGTCTCGCTAACGAGACAACGCGATACTCAAAATGTAAACAAACAGGTAGATCGATTATTGATTAGAAAATTAAAATGAGATGAGGGGGTGATTATTGACGGAAGCCGTGAGTAATGTGAGTAAGCAAGAGTTTTAATTTAGAATTTAGAAAAAGAATTGCACCCAAAGACGATCGCCAAAACCAATAACACACTAACAATAGAAATTATGGTCATCACCCACGCCTCCGCCCAATGCGTCCCGCATTGCAGCTATGAAAACAAAAGATGGGTAAAAATAATTAAATAAATAAATTACAATGAGTACTGTCCAACTCGAATGACGCTATAGTCGCTTCACTCGGAATAACGCCATCGCCTCCTGAAACATCTTCGCATCCGTCTCCCACTCCTCTTCGATAGCCACTCTTCTAACTTTCCCATCTTACAGCCTCTCTTCCGTCATAGTGATTCTCTCTATTTTTCCAATCAGCGGCACGCTGTAACTCGTAACATTTTTGTGCATCTCTTGAACAACCTCTTTTCCCTCTTCCTCGGAACTAGCATCAGAATACAGGGAAAATATTAATTTGAGTTCAACCCCAGTAACTTCCCTTCTCCTGCGCGGTGACCCGCTTTATGTTCAGCTGCAGTGGGGACACTATCAATGTGTGACTTTCACTGTGCTCACATTAAATTTTCTTCACCACCATAGACTGCACACACTTCTTTTCCACTATTGCACATTTACCTTGCTACCTCGTTTCCTTTCTATTTATGTGTATCCAATATTGTGACCGGCTTTTGAATTCAGCATTTTTACAGAGAAGGCACATGGATGGTTTAGCAGTGGCAGATGATGCCATATTAACTGAAAATAAAGAAACGAACATTAGGTATAAAAATGCGATGGTCTCACAACCTTTCTAACACGCCAGGTCAGGGCTATACTATATACCGGAAAACACCATGTTCTACTGAATACCGGAAAACACCGGAAAAACACTAAATACCAGAAAACACACAAAATACCGGAAACCACCCTAAATAGGTAACCCGGAGAAGGGCTATACTATAAACCGGAAACAAACCCTAACCCTAACCAGGCACACATAGGACCAGGCTCTCGGTTACCTATTTAGAGTGCCAGTCTCCGGGTTACCTATTTAGGGTATTTTCCGGTATTTAGTGTGTTTTCCGGTATTTAGTGTTTTTCCGGTGTTTCCGGTATTCAGTATAAAATGGTGTTTTCCTGTTGTTTTCCTTTGTTTTCCGGTATATAGTATTACCACCAGGTCATGCGGTGCAAAACCGGGGATGTCCGGGTCGTCTTTGTCGTCGTCCTCTATGTCGGCATCACACACTATGGCGTCCTCGTTACCATCAATATTATACCCATCTAACCGTTGCGTAAATTTACGAAGTTGGTCCAGGTCAACCACTTGTTTACAATGACTGATTATCCACAATTTCGTACTTGATGTCGGTCACTCTTCGAGGTACGGTGTAGGGTCCACTCCAATAATACACAAACGTGGTGGGTATTCCTGCTGACACCGAAGGGGTAAACAACCACACATTATCTCCAGGAGAAAGACTTTCTATACCGATCCGATTTGGATTGCATGTTTAACTAATCCTGTTTTCCTAAATCTTTTCATGATGCTGCAAATAGATCGTGGTGTTTCATCAACAGTCTCATTACACCACGTGCCTGAGTTCGAGCCAACACATTAAAAGTCCGTTCCCACAATTCCAAAATATTGGTTGGAAGTTCAATTCGAGGATTGTTGGACACACTTGAAACGTTGGCACAATCTTTGTTGGGTACAACTTCAACACAAATAGCATTTCCAAGGCTAGTACTTTGAAACAGTAAAACGTCGTGTTTATTTGCATTTAAGAGCCTAATACGTATCCTTTGTTGTTTACTAGAGGGTTGGCACAAGACTCTTGACGGAACTATTTTGTTTTTCGTATATCTTAGCAACTGGTTCAGCCATTATATCACAATGTGAAAACTGTTTGGCGAATTCCGATGGTATATCCCCTTTCACAATTATTTCTTATCTATTAGGAATGTAAGTGTTCTCTGATAATGAAACACGGCATATACCTGCAGGTCCGGGAGCCACGGTGGCTAGGTGGTTAAGACGCTGGATCGCTAGCCTGGAGGTCGGGTGTTCGATCCCTGCATTGGCCGAGAAAGTTCATCTGGATTTTCCGACGTGGTTTCCCCTTGTCAGTGGTGCATAACTGAGGGCCTGACAAGGACAGCTGTCTAGTCCTTCGGATGAGACGAAAAACCCAGGTCCCGTGTATACATTGGAATGCACGTAAAAGATCCCTTGGCAGTTGGAATTCGATATAAGAGTAGACGATAGTGCCGCTGCCCGGGCAAAATTTCCCTTATAGCACACTGTATGGCGTATGCCCGTCTTCATTAGCCCAGTATAGGAGCAGAACAGTAGGATGTTAAACCCCATTTCATTTCATTTCATTTAATACCTGCAGGACCATCCACCATTAATAAATACGGTTTTCCTTTTCACATTTTTGCAAGAAAAAAATGCAAACCATGAATGAATTGCGAACCAGTATAGCCCACTAAACAACTATAGAGATAACTTTCCCCATATATTTCGAGTTTGAGTTTTGCTTTACCCAAAACACCCAGCGCACCCCCCCGTTAGCTGCACCGAAACGTATGAGGCACATGCTTTACTTCTGGTCGCATATTTACAGGTATTATAAAATATGTGTCCTCGCCACAAAATAGTTATTGTTGCCCCGGTATACATCAATTCATTCACAGTTACAGTACAAACATGAGCTTTCTCATTGGGGGTTCCGAAAGACCTGGAATCAGGCTGAGAACAGGGCCCTGTTTCACGAAATTTTAACTAAAGACAAAATCCAAATTTTAGTAGATACTTCAATTTTGATTGGCTAAGCACTAAAATAAGTCTAATATTAGCCAATCGAATTACTGAAATTTGGAATTTACCTTAGTTAAAATTTCGTTTAACAGGCCCCAGAGCCCACCTTGAGGATTGGATTGTACCTATCTTTTCTATGAAAGAGGTCATTGAGTTTGTTTTGTGTTTTTGTTTTTTTTTTTTTTTTTTTTTTTGGGGGGGGGGTGGGGTGGGATTTCGTCATATAACACAATTGTATTAGTATTAAAATTCTTTTTCTATTAACATTCCAAATGTCTATTAGTATTGATTTGGTAGTGCTAATTTACTTTTTCCTATCATTTTATGAATGAATGAATGGATAAATGAAATGTTGTTTAATGGCACGGGGGGGGGGGGGGATTTCGTCATATAACACAATTGCATTAGTATTAAAATTATTTTTCTATTAACATTCCAAATGTCTATTTAGTATTGATTTGGTAGTGCTAATTTACTTTTTCCTATCATTTTATGAATGAATGAATGGATAAATGAAATGTTGTTTAATGGCACGTCAGCTCCAACCGGGCTATATTGCGCCAAACATATGGTGAGGTTTCTCGAGACAAACTAGAAACAAATAATCACAATATTATCTATATATATACATAAATAAAAACAAATATCAAAGTAAATATCAAATACAAATAAATATCACAAACTTTATGTATATATATTTAAAACGTGAAAGGGAAAATCAGATATTTACAATTAAAATTTTCGATAAAGATTTGTCTCTTTTATAAAATCTAGCGCTTTACAATATAGACCCAGTTGTGAAAACAACTGATGAAGTGATTGGCAGCGGGAATGCCGTAATTTTGTATCTTTAAGATGCTTGCACTCAATCAAAATGTGCTTAACTGTCAAGGGAACATAAACGTGTTCACATTCTGGTTGAGGCCCTCGCTTTAAAATGAAAATATGTGTTTAAAAAGTATGACCTATGCGAGAGCGACACAAGACAACATCATCTTTCCTGCTCGTACGATAGGAGCTTGGCCAGTCTCCGAAGAGATGCTTGATGTCAGGAAGTTTATTTGTGTCTGCAAGATGCCAAGACCGCTGCCAGCGATCGAATATAAATTGATTTATAGATAATTTAAAATCGGCGAATGGTGTTAAAAATTCGGATATGGGAAGATCTAAAGCAGACTTGGCAGCCGAGTCTGCTTGATCATTCCCTTTGATATTCATATGACTGAGAGCCATTAAAGGACAATGTCCTTGCTGATTAATTCGTAAGATTATAGCAGACAATAAAAGCGTAAACTATTCGTAACTCTTTCGTAGCTACTGCCGATTCTCAACGATTTTTTTCTGCCGAATCGGCACGAATTTCGATTAATTTTGATTCCACGCTATTTGTGGCATTCGTAGCACGCGCGAAAGTGGGGCGTTTATATAGCCGAGAAATTCAAAGTCGATTTGGGATTGTTCCGAGTCGGTTTCACGAATTTTAGGGAGCCACAAATGGCCACGAGTGTCAAAGAATCGAAAGGGTTACGATAAATCTAAACATTCCAAATTTCGTAGACCGACCACGAAAGTTTTTGACAAACTTCAAGAACCGTCTGCGATTTATCTACGAAAAGGAAACAGTTTGGATTGGTGACATCAGTAACCCACGTCAAAGCCACGCATAACGCCGTCACATGTGTAAAAATAAAATAGATACTAGTATTTGAGTAACTTCCTTGTTGAATAAGTATGCCAATAATAATATATAATATAAAGAAGACGGTATGTGAAATTCTATACGCTGTATAACAGCAACGATATATATATGCTTCGCTTAATTCATTATTTATAAATTTAAATCATGGCGTGAATTTTACATTTTTTAATAACCAAAGCCCCTTTTATGAAGATATCAGATAAATATACTAGTATACATAAAGTAGTCCAGTGTTGCATAGGCGTGTACGGGCTCGATGAATTTTAAAGAGGACTGGGGGAGCTGAATTGCCCAAACCAATTTTGGGTTACAGACAGCGGTACCGGTCGTCTGCGAGAGGCCCCGGAGCGGTGAGTTAGGAGGGTACCTTGTAGGATACAAACACCGCAAAGACAATTTGGAAAAGTTGACGACCGTAAACGCGTTTTCCTGCACTTCAAAGTTGTCAAATACAGCCTAACTTAGCTAGCTGACTCGAATTCCAGTCATTCAAACGTTTACTGTTCATGGAGATGGGACCGTCGGGAGGAAATTTGGCCCGTGAATACAGCAAATTCAATGTGCCCCCCCCCCCCGGGGTGTAGGGGGTGATAATAACATACCCTTCGTAAAAGCCAACTAATGGATCCCTGTAATGGGGTGGGGTGTTTGCCGTGCGTTGCGACCCGTGTCGGTGGAGAGTGGGATCCTTGTAATTGAGTGGGGACTTGGCTTGCGAGCCTTGTGTCTGCAACACATTACTTTGACCCCATGGTTCACTTAGACGGGAGGTCAAAGTGGCCCATTTTTTTAAAAAAACAGACTGCTGTCAGGCACTGATCGCCCAGATAAATAGATCTGATCAGATACCGCCTGTGACCTGACCACTAGTTTATCCGACCAGAAAAAAAAGTGTCGAACTGACTTGCAAACCTCAACGAAGCCCCCGAAAATTTGAAAAGTAGACTGCCGGAAATGCACTCTGGCAATATTTCAGGCACTGATCGTCGAGATAAATAGAGGTTACCAGATACTGTCTGTCGCCAAGTCAATTGTTTATCAGACCAGAGAGGGAAGTGTCGAACGGAGTGATTGAATCAAAGTAAATGAATATTTTCGCCACGTTATTTTGAGAAATAGACCGCCGGAAATGCATGCAGCCTGGCAGTATTTCAGATACCGGTGAACAAAATTAATAGTGTTTTACTTAAGCTACGTAGCGTGAAACCCTAAAAAAGAGGCCTCGCAAATTGTTTGACAATAGATACGCATGTAATACTATGTAGTAATTTATTATGTCCTGTGTGCTGGGAAATTAAAACCAGTGTTTTCCCACTTTTTTACGAGTCCTAACAACTATTCGGCCCACAAAAACATGTTTCTCTATATGCGAGCTTCTAACAAAATCCAATCTTATTTTGATATTAATATGCGAATAATAATTTTTAAGTGTTGTATACGTCATAATTTATTCAAGAACTGATCTAGGTCGGGGAAACCTTCTCGTTTGCTATAAATAGTTTTTTCTTTCCTGTTTGTACATCCATTACTCCCATCAAAAGGCAAAACCTAGTAACTCACTTTTTTATCAAAATTGAGTTAGGACCAAATTTGTAGTTAGTAGGGTATGTGCTTCCTGTTGTTGTACTAGATATTCCAATATTTTGATTTTGTTAGCAGTTACACCAATGGCACAGGCTAGCAACTTCCGTCATTTGCCTAGTATACCACATCAAAACCTAGTAACTCAAAAGTCAAATCAATGGATGAGCTGGGGTTTAATATTCATTCATTATGGTTTCCTTTGCTTTCTCAAAATAAGAAAAAAAGTGAGTTACTAGGTTTTGCCTTTTGACGGGAGATTATTACACAACACACAGTAGGACTGTGTTATGTGTCCTCTGGGTTATTTTACACATGGAACAAGTGTGCACAGTCTTAATAAGATTGGTGTTGAAAAGTTATTGCAACACAGATTTCGGGAGCCACGGTGGCTAAGTGGGTCGCGTGTTCGGTCCCTGCATTGGCCGAGAAAGTTCATCGAGTTTTTCCGACGTGTTTCCCCATGTCAGTGCTGCAGGATGGAGTGCCTGACAAGAACAGCTGGTTAGTCGTTCGGATGGGACGAAAAACCGAGGTCCCGTGTATACTTTGGCGTGCACGTAAAAGATCCCTTCGCACTTGGAATTTGATATAAGAGTAGGGCATAGTGCCGCTGCCCGGGCAAAGTTTTCCCTCATAGCACACTGTATGGCGTATGCCCGTCTTCATTAGCCAGTATAGGAGCAGAACAGTAGGACGTTAAACCCCATTTCATTTAATTTGCAACACAGCTTTCGTAAACGTTCACTGACAACCGGTATAGGTTAGATTACCGCCGGGAAATTTTAGATTCATCGAAGAATGATCATTTAGCTGCGCGCGCATCTCATGTTACCTCTAACCCCGTCAACAACATAGCAGAATTACAATCAAACTTCAACTTCCAGGTAAGTTTCGTTTAATTTTTAAATTCATCAAAGTCAATTTCTTATGCGTAAACATATTCCCAGAGATTCTACTACTGATTTAATTCACTGATATATGAGCGAATTTCAATGTAAATAAAGAAGGTAGGCGTTTACACGAGTAAGCCATCTAACCGTGATATCAAACAAACAAACAAAAATTGTATACATCCTTTTATCTATTCATGGTTAGTGTATTGTGAATCATTATACAAAATTTATTCAGAGTTGGCGTTCATTCAAATACGAATACCTCACATTGAATCAGTATTATAGTAACAAACACTGAGATTTTATTAAGATGTCACTCCAGTTTAGCGGCCAGTCATGAAATTTCCCTTGCGTTTCTGCTTAATACATATTTTACTGTACTTGTTAAACTATTGTATTAGTTTTACCTGATCCAAGTAGCAAATGACAGAATTCACTTATAAGTTTACCGATATTCCCTTAACACAATAATAAAGTCCATCGTTCTCATGAATGGTTACATTACTTTAGCTAATATTAGAAGCTCGACCCTTATTTTTCCATTCAGTCCCCAACAATATATTCTGCTGTTACATGAATCAAATTTATAAAATTAAACCTCGTGTGTTGACCTGGAAAGTTCACCGCAAAACCCTTTAAAACCTTACCCGTTACGTCGGGGTATATACAAAACACACAAAAAAATAACATAGGAGATAAAACCGTGAATACTATTTGAATGATTGTGAGTTAATATCTTCACCACAAATATAGCGATGGACGGTGAAATATCTATTCAACCGTCTATTCAAGAATTTCCTAATTAGGAACTTAACTCAATTCCAGCCAAACAATCACAAAATATTTTACTTTCCAATATAAACCTCTTAATAATTTGTTACTAGTCATTTTAAAAGCCAAAATATGTGTTCAAAAACAAACAATTATAATTTACATTCTTTTAAAAACAAAATGACTCACCGTAAAACAACAATCACACACATTTTTCGGATCCCCGCAGTTCCGCCTCCATTGATTTGAAAGTCTTTAGTAGTTTGTTTTTTTTGGGTGATTTCTCGGTCCTTTCTTCATACCCATCTTTTAAGTTCGAATTTCCATATCGTTGAACTGAGTATTTCCAATCATTGGCCCGTGATCATCGTCCAGGTCTTCACGCTGTTGTGGCGATTAACTCCCAGGTTCTCAGTCACGGCCACCATAACAAATCACTGTAACACTATTGTTAGTGATAACAGTAGACCGGTTTCGTAAATATATGGTTTATACGGGAACAGAATATCAAACATCTACAGAATAACAACAGCAATACAGATCCTAAAACTATACAAGAACTAGTCTACGACAGGAACACATCTAACAATCTTGAATCAACCATTCCGCCCCTCTGCCACGGCAGCGGCTGAACTCGGGTGAGTCCATACACTCGTCCAACCCTTTCTTCTCCTCCCGGCTCCTCTCTCCTAACTGTCAGTGAACTCCTCAATATATACCCTTGCACACATGGTCATACATACAATTGTCTATTTTATCTCGTCACGGCATGCCTACTGACCAAAGCATATTCCTTTGAAGTAAAGCGGAGCGTGTGCAAAGACCACACGTAGTTTGTAAAGATCATACTGAATCAATTAGATGTTTAATAAGTTCGTGCTTAACAGAAGTTTATATAGAGGTGAAAGTCAAAAATCATATATTGTTAAAACTAGCGGAGTTCATTAAGTTCCATGTACCTAAATGATACTGTTCAATTTGGTGAGAAATATAAATCACTTTGTCACAACCGTCTATGTTTACATGTACGCAAATTCCCGAATTCCCATAAGAAAATCTTATATCGTCATGTGTTCTTATGGAAAAAAACCTACCCTGGAAGAATAACCAATTACAGGTTTAAAGAAAAACTTTTAGAAGAATAACCCTAAATTGTCCTGTATATATCCAAAGCCGCTCCCGAATTTCAGACCGCAAGTTATTCCGGGCATAGAATAAACCCCAAAGATCAAAGAGATATGCCGTTATAGGTTTATAAAGCTAAGTGAACAATTACGTCAAGCTCTCGGATCCATTCACGTGATCTAATATATCTGCATATCTTGCGTCCTGTACGTAGGGTTGCTTGTGTAACTGCCGGAGTCTTGTGCGGTCCACCTGCACAATATAGCGAGATAATGAATACATGTTCTTTTCAGGATGAAATAGTCATCTTATTAAGGGGCTATAACATGTTTATTGTATTCAACATCATCTCTTACTACATAATTCTTTTCCAATTGAAGGTCTATCGATCTCCAGGTAAAATATATTATTTAATTAAAACCCATTTGCAGACAATTTATTCATTTGAGTCTGCATATTGCTCTTGATAATTCAACACATTTTATGAGAATGCTGGAGAATTTTACGATAGTGTTGTATAGAACAAATCTCCGAATGTAATACAATATCATTTGGAGTCTAAATTTTATAATTGTATTTTGAATTCATATTTTAATTTATATTTTTCATTTGTAACTCATTTTGGACATGTGACAGATTAATTGTAAAATGTAATCTGCATCAGAGGTGAGGGTTATTTCATATAATTATGTAAGATATAATGGGTTATTCAAACAATGTATAGCCGGCTTGTCTTAGACAAGTATATTATGATATAAGGTTTAGGTAACAAGCATTAACACATATTGTCTAGAGATAAGATGTGTGAATCTTAATGATTAGTTCTCATTGTTCTGATTACTAATGGTATTAACTATGGCGTGCCCTAACCGATATAAAAAGCCTAGTTTAGAAGCAGACGGGGGGAAGTACAGAAGAGACCTGGAGAGAGACCCGTAGAGACTTAGAGGTCCTCCGGACCTCGGGAGAGGGTCTGCCCTCGACACCGGTGCAGAGGGGTCCTGTGAGGCCGAGGAGAAGCCGCTATAGCTAGGCGTTACTACACCCAACCAAATGATGTTCATATGTACCTGTAAATATGTTATCCAGCTTTGGCAGCAAAATCTGCTTGATCATTCCCCCTTATATCTACGTGACTGGGGAGCCAGCAAAAGACGACGTCTTTACTGTTGAACTCGTATGATAATAGCAGATGATAAACATCTGCTACTAATGGGTGTTCAAGCTGTTTGTTGTTAATTGCTTGAAGCGAGGACAGAGAATCAGTAAAGATGATATACTTTAAAGATGAAGAGGATTGTATGAACTCCAAGGCCTGAAGAATGGCCTGGAGCTCAGCTGTAAATATTGAAGCAGCAGGTGGAAGACACACAGAAATGGTCTCAGATGGCGTCACGGTAGCCGAGGCTACCCGATCACCATCTTTAGAACCATCTGTGTAAATAGGAGCATAATCACCATACTTAGACCTTAACTCTCTAAAGAGAGATTGGAACACCGTAGAGCTAGTATCTCTCTTTTTATGTTGAGTTAGATCGAAATCGATCTTTGGGGGAGATATAGCCCACGGTGGAGTCCTAAAGACAGGGGTATTCGCAATACTGTCAAGGCTGATACCAGCCTCAGACAAAAGGGGTTGTATGCGAATACCGAATGATGGAATAACATAAGTCTTCACCAGATACAAATGCTCATAAAGAGGTCTAAATATGGTGTTAAATGAAATGTGATTCGGAAGTGATGCTATTTTCGTAGCATACTATCCAGTATTAAAATATCTTTTTAATAAATAAGAGTTATGTATTCTATCACACCAGTGATCCGTCTACATTAATCTGAATTGAGTAGCAAAGTAGGATGTTAAACCCCATTTCATTCCGATCTTCCTATTGGTCATTGAAAGTGAAGTTCAAATTCATATTGTGCCACTCATGATACTCAAAGTTTAGACAACAAAGCATTTTATTGACTAATGTTAAACAAAAACAACAATAAAACACAATAAAACAATGCAAAAACAGAACGTTAGCAAGATCAAACAATAGTAAAATATTTTGATAGTGTTAATGTCTACCTTTAGAAACATCGATCACGTCATTCAAAGTCAGCACAAGTAAAAAATAAAACAAGGGTTCAGTGCACCCTGTACATCGGATTTTTATTTACACAACCAACCCAACCAGAGACTAATTTCAAAATACGCATGGTTCACCTAACATGACACCATCAGTGATATCACTATTGGTGATATACATGACTAAAACAGCTGACGTATATAATTCAAAACTATGTACATGGCTTATTGTTTGAAATTTAATCTGTTGGCAAAACAAAAAATAAATCATTTTATAATGTAATAATTATTTACATCCTATATTAATAATTTAATTTAATTGTCCATATATACCTCTGGTCAGATTGTGTCGCTTATTCCATTCTCATTGGAACACCGTCTTGTCAAACAATGGTATCAAAATATTTGTTTAAGTTGTTTTAAAAAAAACTAATTTAAGCTCTTAAACATATGTACCCAGATTATGATCAATGGAATATTCTGATATCTTGTATTCTCCGGACCAACACATTTTCTTACATAACGATATATTTTCATTGATCTTTTCCGGAACTGTATCATCTAGGACTGGCCTCGGTTCAACTGTTAGAGGTTCGCATAATGAAGTATTTAGAGCTGAAATCTCATTATGTTTCCTTACTACGTCACATCCTGTCAAAAATAGTAGATTAATGTGCGATTTAATATATCGGGTCATCAAAACTGATTTGCAAAATTGAAGATTGGCAAAGGTATGTAAAATATTTGTTCATGTTAATGCATTTGTCAAGTATTGTCAACAATATGAAAAAATACACTATTGAAAGTTTTGCTAATTTGTCAAGAAGTTCTTTATGTTTGATATATTAAAGCCTTCATGTGAGCAATAGCCTCTTTACACATTGTTGAATCTTTTAATATTTCATCGATGTGATGCCCCAATACAAACATGCACAATTTATACAAAATTGGACAGGTACAATGAAGCTACAAGCAGAGCACACACACACAAAATCAAAAGTACGTTTATGAAGAAAGAACATCTCCCCGCTTTATAGATTTACAAATATCAAAATTACTTACGCCATAAAGATAACACGAGAAGTGCTGTTACCACGACGAACAAAATACTAATTATTATCAGGATCACAGTCACCATGCTCATTCCACTGTTCAAATTAGATGCTGTCAGTTAAAATAATATACCACACAGATTAACGATGAGTCAAGAAAGAGCTAACTTTGCCTATTGTAAGTTTTTAGGGGATATAATATACATTATTATTTAATTATAAATATGTCAAGCCCATAAAAAAACGCTCTGGAACGCCGTATACCTTCGACTATATGTAAATTAGAACATCGCGGCCATCAAACTTTTGTACTATAAAATTCTAATTGAGACTTAGTCTGGTTTATCGATTACCGTTGCTACGCTAATAAACAATCTATGATACATTTTGCCAGCACTTCAGACTCAGATAACTCCGAAAAGAATAAAGTGATTTGACTAAAATTGTCAATATAATATTCATCTTTCATTATCTTTCGTTGGACTAATAAAATACATCTGTAAAGACCTCTCTATATCCAAGAAAAAATACACAATGTGCACAAAGCATATACTTGGTATAAAATCAATTTTCAAATGTTGTTCAATGTGTATAAAAATAATTTGTTTGACAAACATAAATCGATTACATTTTTGAGATTTGAATCATTTCTATAAATGACGTAAAACATTTTTTATTAGCCCTGGTGATGCATAACAGTAGGCCGTTGAGCTTCATTTCGATTCATCTCAAAGACCTATGCGCCTTTAATTTATTCTGCAACGGTAAATATCTATGCATACCATTAACCGTGATATTTATGTATTTAGAACTATATAAATATCACAAATCCTACCGTACATACCTGTGTCTTGTTTTGTAACATTGGTTGTAGTAAATTCTATCTTTGTATGCTGGTACTTGGAAGTATTCCTCTTCTCTTCCACAAAATTTGTAACTTCTTTCTGTTTTAGAAACACAAAGCCAATCTCCAAATCAGTAGATAATACATATTAATTAATTGCAGATCTATCTTTTGGAAAAGTATTGAGCAATCAAACTGATTATTTATACTTAGTCAAAGCAAAGAATGTTTATAATCAAACTCAGTCAAGGTTTTAAAGTACCTGGTAGACATAGGCGTACGAACCAGTGGCAGGGGAGGGGAAGGGGGTGGCTGCCACCCCCCCCCCCCCCCAAACTTTCGGCGAGACGGGTAAAGTGAAAACAAACATTATTATTCCATCTAGTTGGCAAAATAAAGTGCCTGAAATCTAATAAAACACTAATTTTACTTTTTCTTTTAACTGAATACCACGAATTTGTACTGAATTGGCTATGGGTTAAAACATTTTGTCTGGAGCCACCCTACATTGTGCGATATTTTTCAGGCATCGATTATTATTTGTGAATGCAGCTGCAACAGTATGATTGGATGGCTGGAATTTAGGTCGGGTTAGAATGGAATTTCGGTTGCAAACTGATTGGAAAATTTGAAGTTGCTTAATTCACGGCATAGAATAGCAGATATACCCCGCGACGAGTTATTGCTTGTTTGGGAAAACGCGTTTGCGACCGTCAAATTTTCTAAAAGTCATGTCATGATCCAAATGTATAAATAATGAATAACCCCAACTATATTTATCGTTGATGTTATACATACGTATACAATTTCACACACGGTGTTTATATTATTATATTATTGTTATTTGCATACTTGTTGTCCAAGGACGTTACTCAAATATCTATTTTATTTATACACATGTGACGGCGTTAAAGGGCCAATGTCGATTATTATTTCGGAAAATAAAACAGCATAATTTTGTGTTAAAAGCTATTATATTCATCTACCCGAGGGCCGAGCAACTAACTCAATATACGTGATACGTTTTCAAACAACTTAAACCGGTCAGTCTGCATCTGGAAATGGAGACCGGTGTCCTAAACTGTATTATACGGTGTCTGGATAAAACTAGATTTTTATTTTATAAAAAGAATGTGTAGGTGAAATTTACCTTTAGTTACCAAGTACAGCACGTGGCTCATGCACTGTATAGAACTATAAAGGAAAGGCAATAGATTATCATGTCACCTAACGAACAAATTGACCCGAAATCTTAAAAAGGTTACGTGCACGGATAAACGGTTTTTACGTTCATGGACAAACGGGTCAATATTTTGAGTTGAAATTTTGATACGCGGTGAATATCCCATTCTTCTCTATTTTGGGGCTTAAATTTCAGACGTACACGGATATTTATTTCTGATACTCTGTTAAAATCGGGATGGTCCCTTTAAAAGAGGTACATGCATTCGTTGGCAAACGTAAAAGTTGGATTTATGTTAGTAAAAATAAAGCGAAGTATAATATTACACTCTATGTGAGTAATCAGTTTGTTTTAAATGAATTCAGTAATAGAGCAAAAGGAAAACACAAGATATCCTTCTATATAACTGGCTGAAGTAATGAGCGATAGCAGATACGTAGGCGAATTTCTGCTCACTGATGAGGAAAAGTTGTTATATGGTGTATTACGACAGAAAAAATAGATGTTAATCCAACCGTCCTAATGCTAGGCTCTCACGATTCGCGCTAGAAAAATGCGTTTGCGACCTTCAAATTTTCCAAATTTACTTCGGGAGGGCGTGGGGGGGGGGGGGGTCACGGTGTACAGGGCAGGGCAGATCGCAGAACCTTGGCGTTTGTTTTCAACATGCACAAAACAAACGCCGTGACTCGGCGATCATTTGCGACCATCGAGACCACAGGGCGATATCGGGCGTTTCCACCACGCTTTTATCACACTTATGACGATTTTGACGTGCTCTGGAGCCATTTTCCGTCGCCGTAGCAGCGCAGTAAAGGCTTCACCCTGGCCTGACTGTGGTATAAGCACACGACTTTTTTCAAATCTGTAATTTTTGGGGACATTTCTCGCGTTGTGTTTACTTTTGGTGGCAACCTTGTACATTTTCTGGTCGCTGTACGGTCGCCGCAGCGCAGTAAGGACGCCACCAGGTCTGACGGTGGCATGAAGATAAGTTCGGATAAGTTTCGATGCGATTAATACGATTGTCACGACTGACCTCAATATATGAAAATACCTGATAGGATCACCGCGATTACTCCACGATTAAAACCATGATTTGCATCGCAGCGCGAATCATGATAGTGGGAACCTAGCATTAATGATTCAACTCTGTCAAGCCATTCACCTAATGAACATCTACACCAGAGTCGTTATGTTCCAAAATCTTGCCCCTCACAGTGCTTGTCGCTACTGGGGTAGCCTAACCGGGTTATTCTTATCGAACTTAGTCACGTTTTTGATGTAATGTGTGTAACTATACCCAGAGTTTCACCACTCTCGCGCTATTAGAATCAAAGTTATCGAGCTCCAAATTCTCCACCAATCTTTATAATAGGTTATATTTACTATCCAGGTTAGACTTACGTCTGATTTCTCAGTGGTATCCATGGATGCATTTGGGTTCTCAATAAACCGTTCTGAAGCAGAAAAAAAATAACTTATCAAGTTCGTGTGCAGCATTTTGTTACATAAATCAAGGGGATCAAATTTAAATAAAATTAGTATATTACCACAATAAAGGCATGTAGTTATCCCGTTTCAATTACCTATATTGGTGTAGGCATTATACTTCGTTTTAATGACCTATATTGATGGATACATTATATCCCGTTTCAATAACCTATATTGATGGCGACATTACATCCCGTTTCAATAACCTTATATTGGTGACATTTGATACCATTTCGGCTAACCTAAATTGGTGACTTTAGATTCCGTTTCAATAACCTTGTATTGGTGATATTAGATTCCCTTTTAATATTAATTCTGTAATTGTGGATATCTGATTACAATAACTAAACTGATGACGAAGGCGTTAAAGTCATAAATATGGTTATTAATTTATAGTATGATTCACATTAGTATGATTCAAAGCTGAATAATGATGACAAATTATTATGGCTTGAATTGCTTGGATTTATTGCCGCTTTAAATGAAACGGAAACATTTAATAGAAGATGTATATTTTTTTCGATCAATACGTTCCTTCCAATTATTCAGAGGATAGCTGTAATTCAAAGCCTACTGTTAATTCTGGTTCGCGCATTTTCTTGATTTAGCGAACGCCTCAGATGGGAAGTAACTATTCTGATAACGAAATGTCGTACAAACAAAAACTAAGCCAGTAGTGGTAATATTTTATCAGTCATCAACATGAGATCGCGTAGAGTATATCCTAAATTTCCCGTATTTCTGCATGTTATACAGGCATGCTGCCCTTTATCACAAATTAAGATACAATGCATATCAAACACCACAAAATGAAACGTAAGCCGAGCAAAGTCCTCGACGTAAAATCAATTTTTAATATGAATCAACATAAGTGTGTAGCAACACCTGATTAATTAATTATTTATTATTTCTCTATACAAGCAACTTGAGTCTTCAGGCATATATATCTATTATACATACCGCTAATAGCAATGGTGACATTTTTAGACTTATAATTCCATAAATCTACTCTACATCTATATATTCCCCTGTCTTCTATTGTAACATTGGTTATCCCAAATACTATCTTTGTATGCTGGTTTTCTGTTTTCACTCTGATCATGTACTTGGAAGTATTCCTTTTCTCTTCCACACGAAAAGTTATAACTTCTTTCTGTTTTAGAAACAAAAAAACAACAATGAGGATGCTGTCCCCCGGGGCAATCCCCAAATCAGTAGATAATACATATTAATTAATTGCAGATGTATCTTTTTGGAAAGTATTGAGCAATCAAACTGATTATAAATACTTAGTCAAAGCAAGAAACCTTCGGTTGCCATGCAAGATACACCCACATTTTGCAAGAGATGGATAGAAAACACACTAAAATAAAACGTGATTTTTCGTACAATCAATGGCCGTAATCCAATAAATTATGGCCCGAAATGCGAGGATATCGAAATGAGCCAAGATCTTTGGGATAAAAACATATTTTGCGTTTCATCAATATCAGATACAAACTGTGACCTCTAGAGGGTCCATAACTTGGTATTACATACTTTTACACTATTTGCGTTCAAGTGGTCATTTTGTCGGGAAGTATTGGTCCGATTTGTAAGAAATTCGACCTATACCATCATCAGTGTGTCACGATGACATATGTAAATGCATTTTAAAATCGAATGAAAATTTTAACATCTAGAGAGTCCACAAGCTAAAGTTGTGATGATTGTTCGTACAATCAGGGGCCATAATTCAGGCAGTTACGTTCCGATATGCGCGAATATCGAAAGGAACCTACATCTTTGTGATATAAGCACAACAAACTTGATATTACATACACTATTTGCGTACAGGGAGCGGCCATTTAATCCGGAAGTTTCGGTCTGATTTTCACAGGGCCATAATCAAGGAAGTTACGATCCGATACATGCCAGTATCGACAGGAACCGAGATCTTTGGGAGATAAACCCATGTGTCAAGTTTCGTCAAAATCAGATAAAAACTGTGACCTATAGAGTGTCCACAAGCAAATTGTGGACGGGCGCCCAGGGGCGACAACATTTAACGACCACAATGAAAGTGTGGGCGTATAAAACAATAATTGGTATGATCTTGGTTTAACGCTTTATTACATCAACCATTGCAACCCCCTCCAGTAACGATATTAATTTAAAAGTATTTAACACAATTTAAATGACGTCTAATGCTTTTGAGAACAGAACACCTTGTATTCAAAACTGAAACAAACAAACAACACGTTGATTTATGAGACTCTGTAATATGGTATATTTTGGTCAAATAAGTAATATGAAATAACTTACATCATCTTTAAAACACGTTAAAGTATCTTGATAATCGGTTGAATTTAAAATCCAGGTTAGATTAACACCTGATCCTTCAGTAGCATTCATATATTCATTCGAATTCCCAATAAAGCATTCTGAAAAAAAAAAACATAACTTATCAAGTTTGTGT